GGGACAATGATGAAGAAGTTGAAACCGAAATCAAGACTCAAGTTGTGTTGTCTTTTATGTTTCCCTTCATTTTGGCCCTTGCACAATGTAAGACTAAGACAGTAGATAAAAAATTGACTGGCAATTTTTTTTAGCGGGAGGGGGAGGAGTTGTTATGACATGATTAGGAATTAGTTATTTGTTTCGGGAATAAGGGGAAAGTTTTACTTAGCGACAAATGACGTGACAGATCTTTAAAAAACAAGAACGCTCTTAGTGACGCTAGAAAGAGGATGATTTGTGTAGAGCAGTAGAATAGAGATACGAATTTACGGACATAGCTGACATAGGACGATTCCCTTCTTAGTTATTAAATGTATTTGTAAACAGCACCAGCGTCGACTACCTATTTTGATTGTTTCGGCTTTTCGCCGGTGTTACTGAAGTAGTTTTGAGTTCGGTATTACCTCCAGCCAGACGTAGATCTACACTAGATATATCTACAAGCATCACCACCGCGCGGAAGCCTGAACACAGGGAGCAAAAGGAAATAGATTACCTATACAGCAATGGACCTCATTCACCAACCGTAAACAAACAACATTTAGCCACGTGGTGCTTTATCTCTTCTATATAATTTACGATCTCATGTTTAATTCATGATGGTTGTCACGTGACAGTTTTTTCCATTGTTTTATCAATAAGATCACGTGACTAAATGTTGTTTGTTTACGATTGGTGAATGAGGTCCATTGCTTTATAGACCGCAAGGCCTGAAAGGAGAACTTTGCTCTACTTTACCTTTAAAAGGTAAGAGCAACATGTGTATAAAAGTTTATGTGAACCTGGGCTGATGTTTCGTTGATCTCGAGATAGATCAATTAATAATTGAAAGATTGAGGGGTATTGTATTTTGAGTATAGCATGTTGTTTTTTTTTCCTAATAAAATGTTTACTCACGTATAACTGCTAGGTACTTACCTTTATTACACTTAATTCCAAAATAGCCAGGGCTACATACTATGAGACAGCTTCCATTTCATTGACCACAGATTATGTTCAAACATTTTATTGAACAAATATGTGTACAGCTGGTACTAAAGTTTCCAAGTTGGCATCCATTTGGGCATTTTCCATCATCGCGAAAGCATTTTTTTTTTAATATTTAGACTGTGTGACAAAAGAAATCGACAGTTAATGAAAAATGCAAGTTAACAAAACCATTTATGAAATGCTAAGAAGCTGTTAATAACTATCAGATTAACACAGTTCTCAAGTGCACAAGTAAAATACACGAAACGGTATTTCACAATGTTTACATGTGTTACTCCGGACCGTTTTCCACCATAAGAAAACATTTCAAAGATACTTTTTAAAAAAATACAATTCCGCCATTACAACTTAAAATAATCTCACGTGTGAGACAATGGCTATGCTTGCCTTAAAGTGGCAAAATATGTAGGTCACAGCTGGGCTGCGGAGCCACGGGAAATACTGCATTCCTCACTAATCTTCGACTCGAAGACAAGCCTTATTATTATTATTTATTAGCTATTTATTGATATTTGAACCCATTTGTATATTATGTCGAAACGTATTCTAATGCCAAAATAAAATCATTAATAAATATACAATGAAAGAGTGTGCGACCATGTTAGGGTGAATAGATGCAATCGCTCCACCGTCCGCCTCTCTCAACGGACAGAATAAACTTTTGTATTTTAGTAAGGAAATTAAGAAATTTTTTTATACAATCAATGTCACTAAAATAAGCTTTATATGTTATATATTAAATTCTTATATCGAGTCGCCTCCTTTTCAATGATGCAATAATTATAGAATGGAAAGAGGACTATTATATGATTAATCATTTTCATTCTGCTGCCCCATCTCCTTTTCCAACAAAAACATGACTAATAATACTAATTTGTTATTTAGCCTTATGTGAAATGTGAGAGACATCCGACAAATGAGCAGTGTTTCTCAAACGTTTACCGTTGGTTCACCGCAAGTCGTGATTACTGTTCTACTTTTCAGAAATGTTTTGTAGATAATTTTAAACTGTTTCGTATAACCGAAAAAGTTCTATTTTAGAGATAGTATAAGAGAGGCGCCAGGTTCCCTATCCATCCAGCAATTTAGTCTGGGAAAGCGCCGTTCGCTCAAGGCTCAGCCAAGCGTTTTCTTGCGTTTTGAGTTTCATAAATACTTTCTCAGGCGTCTACAGCACATTTTTGTTTTATATTAAAGGAAATACATTCATTATGACTAGTTGATAGAATAATTGGGCAATGAATTATTTTGAGACATTTCAAATCAAAGAATGTAAATTCTGAGAATAACGTGTACCCAATTCCACCCAGACAGACAGAGTGAGTTGATATAAGCTTTTTAAAGAGGAAAGACAGATATCGGTGGTCTAATTCAAAGTTGTATTTCTCAATTTATCAAAATTTTTTTTGGAGCAAAAATGTTACTAACTTTAGTATATAAATTATTGATGGAGAGTAGAAACCGAGCAACCTTTTAGTTTACTTCCTTTTTGATAGCCTTGATATGGAGACAGGATATTTCTAATTTAAAACTACAAGAGCTTACAAGAATCAGGTCAAATCCTGCTTCCTCGAAACCTCTTGCCCAAAACCAGAAAAAACGCATTTCAATAAAAAAAAAAGAAAAAATTTAAATACAAAAAAATACTTTTTAAAAAGCTCGCGATTATTTTGAATCAATCATCACTGAACACAATGGCCCAAGTTAGGTTACTCTTTTCACTTTCGATTGAGTTTGCACGATTATTTATTTTTTTTTGTTATCTTTTACAGTCAGGCTAATTTCTATATCAACGGTGATCAAAATTTTCATGAATATCTGCTCATTTACTCCACTCTCTAATGAATCCCAATAAACATTTGCGTCGAGTGTGGGAATACCCGCTAAAAGCGTGTTAAAATAGCCAAATTTAATTTTAGGACGATCATATTTTTGAAAAATTATAATGGTCAAACAAAAGTTTACGAGTGTATTATAATTTTCTAAAATAAAAAGGCAATACTTCTTTCATAAAACTTATCTAACGATTAACTATCTATTAATAACTAATGAATAATAGATTTTTAAAAAAATGAAAAAATGTTAAATCACCCCATTCCCCACCTCCCCCGAGAAGAAAAAATCCTGGTTAAGAAAGTGCATAAATGTACTAGGCTTTTATCATACCCTAACGATAGCCCTTTAAATCTAGACTTACAAGACGATGCACAAAATGTTCCTGAACATTAATTTATTCAAATGATTCAACTCTTGAATGAACAATTCCTACTCTACATGCGGAAATACCCGAAAACGTACAGTTCGTTTAAGATTAATATAATATCGTGGGAAGCGGTGGTAGAAAGGCCAAGTGCGCTTGAACTTGGCTTGGCTTGGCTACCTAGAAGAGGGCTCGAGGTTCGACATCCGACTCGGGCAGAGTTGTGTTTACTGAGCGCCTAAAGGCAGCACGGAAAACCAACTCCTAGATACCCCCCCCCCCCCCCCCCAACTAGTCCACAAATGAGATTGGAGCAAAAGCGCTCTGAGCATGCTATAAGCATGAAAGTAGCGCTATATAAAAAAAAAATTTTCTAATTTTTGAAAAAAAATAGAAAGATCAAAGTTGAGTTTTCACAGTGGCTGCATGAGGATTTATTTTAGCGCACTTTAAAGTAAACGAGCTGGCAATTCTTTTCCCAATTTTCAAATTTCTTGGAAAATTGTTAGGGCCGCTTATGAGATCCATGTCCACCCAGGTTTTAGGTTTTGCCCACTCCGAAAGAGTGACTTGAATTGAGGTACTGTAAAAACTATTCGTCCGGAAATACTTTGCTTACTATCTTCTAAGTCTGGATCTATAGGCCTATCACCAAACAAGAATATGTCTTTTCATGTTGACTAATTAAGAGCAAAGTAACCACTCTTACAAAAACGTCATTAGCTTCGTAAAGGAAGAAATGTTTTTAAAAGAAAACAAATTTGTCTATTTTACTTGTAAACCTCTAAACAATGATTTAAAGAAACAAGCGAGAAAAGACATATTTGTCTCCCTAGAAAAAAATTACCATGTAGGGTCCTTGTAACCGTATAATCAAGTGACGCAAGTATCGTTGCTGTAACGATTGTTTCGACAGACTGTTGATATTTTTTTAAAGACAAAAATATCAATATATAGTCATAAAAACAAAGATAATCATTTTAACCGTGGTATATTATTATTATATAACTTTTGCTGGCATTATTCTAAAGCGTAATGGACTCTTGTTTTAATTATCAAGCTGCAAATCATATGAGGATTTATTTTAGCGCACTTTAAAGTAAAGTTCGCCTTTCAGACCTTACGATCTATAGGGCAGATGATGTTGAAGTCATCTGTTTCTTTTGCTAATGGTTAACGAGCAGGGTGTCATTTGGCCAGCACAACGACCAACAGCCTTTACTTTCCCAACTAAATTCAGGTAACCATTAGAAATGGGTGAACTCAGGGGCGCCCTAAAAATCCAGAAATTCAAAATCCCGATATTCATCACTCTAATGCAGTGTTTCTCAAACTGTACCACCGAAGATTTGCAGGTGTGCCGCGGGAGTTTTCAGAACTTTAGTCTGATTCTTAAAAAAGGGTCTAAACCTGAAATCTTAACAGCAAGTAAAACAAATTTCAGATCTACTTAAATTAATAAAAATATATAATATTAATACATGAAATAAATTAAATGAGACTAATTCCATGGGTTGGGTTGTGACAGCTGTGGCACACATCAATGACGTCGCAAAGTAACTATCTTGGTAACACAGATATGACGGTTGTCTACGTTTATACGAACAATACATTGACAATCATAAGCATATAGTTATACATTTAGACAAAACCTATTTCTAAGGGCAACCTAAAAATAAATCTATTAAGAAAAATGGACTACTCATCTGTTCAGATTCCCGAGGAGGACACAGCCAATATACTGCTCCTCTTCCAATTATGACTCTGCCTGCTCTCCGGTTCTTCCACTGGATACGATCTATACTGAGTATTCCACGTAATGCCATACATGTATTGCTATCCCACAGCAAAATAATTCAGTATGCGTAGTTTCAATGTGTATGTTATCACACCAACCGACGACTTGATCTGCGTAGACGTATGCTGACGTAACTAGGCTAACGGTTCTTTTGACGAAGGCTTTGATCTGGGCTGACGAATAACTATTCATGTGTGAAGATAGCGAAATTTCTTAAAATGGTTCACCGCTTCCGTGGATATCCTGGCAGTTCGAAGACTGTTGCTGCTCCACGCTGCTTCACTAGACCAACAGCGTCCGTAATGTCCGATACAGAATGGGTGAAACTAAGGTCTCCTCCGACGAAGTCATTATAGAAGACTTACGGTTTGACACTGAGTGGGTGGATGCAGCTGCTTCCACAAAACCAACGCTAAACAATCTAGATATGTGTCTAAAACCGTTTGTGCACAAGGCTCTTAAGTGACTATACATGTTCAGCAACGACAAATTAAATTTCTATTGACCTTTTAAAGGTTAACTGCAGTAACCTTTACGACAAACCGGTTCAATGAGCAAACTGCTCATATAAAGACTTTCAAAGGGATAAGACAGAGTGATTCTTTGCAATTAAGTTGGCTAACAAACTTTTAGTACTCACAATGACTTCTAACAGCGGGCAATCTGTCCTTCTCAAAACTGATGAGGTAACTTGATAGGATTCTGTGGCTCTAACGACTGTTTTCACGATATGATCCGTCTAACAGATTTGCTAACAGTCCTCTACTTGTTATGAAACAAAACGATTATTCTGGCTTCAGGTCGATCTAGTAACACGAAGTTCAGGCGTTGATATCATAAACGTTGTGTAGACCAGACATTGAGATGTTCAAGGGTTGAATCGATAACCACTTTAACGTTATGCTAATTAACTGTTCTGACGATGGCCACCATAAGCTAATTAAACGTATAATCGAGCAAGCGGCTTGTTGTTGAACTGACGCTTGTAGAACTTACAAGTGAAGTGGGAAGCGTGGTCGAGAGGCCAAGTGCGCTTGAACTTGGCTACCTAGAAGGCTCGACACCCGACTCGGGCAGAGTTGTGTTTACTGAGCGCCTAAAGGCAGCACGGAAAACCAACTCCTAGATACCCCCCCCCCCCCCAACTAGTCCACAAATGAAAAGCGTGAAAGTAGCGCTATATAAAAGCTATACAATAAGTCACTATGCGATGATGCTAAGTTCAACCATTACTATGATGGTGTTCCTTCTATCCTCGATCCTAGTTACATTGACAGAATGTCTGGGTTTCTTGTAAAAAAAAAACCACAGAAAAGGAAAATAAGAGTCTCCTAGAGACAGATAGGAATATGTAAGTCAGAAAGAAAGAGAAAGAAAGAAAGAAAAAAAGAGATAACGAGAAAATAGTGTCACGTGGTAAAAGAGAGATAGAGATTAATTGATGAAAAGAGAGATAGAGATTAATTGATGAAAAGAGAGATAGAGATTAATTGATGAAAAGAGAGATAGAGATTAATTAATGAAAAGAGAGATAGAGATTAATTGATGAAAAGAGAGATAGAGATTAATTAATGAAAAGAGAGATAGAGATTAATTGATGAAAAGAGAGATAGAGATTAATTAATGAAAAGAGAGATAGAGATTAATTGATGAAAAGAGAGATAGAGATTAATTAATGAAAAGAGAGATAGAGATTAATTGATGAAAAGAGAGATAGAGATCGAAAGAGAAAGAAAAAAGAGAATGAGAAAAAGAGAGAAAGTGAGAATGGGAAAAAGAGAGAGAAAGTGAGAGTTAGATCCATGAAATAGTAATACTTTCATTGATTTGGGCAACTTGTTTATAGGTCTACTTTACATCCGTGACTGTTTCATGTAGTATCCAAGGAACATGTCTGCCAAGTTTTATCAAGATTGGTCAAATGGTTTTGATTTCTATTTGGGACATACATACATACATACATATATACATACATACATACACACGCCTTACTTTATGCTTTATATTATTGATACCCAGACATTCTGTCGAATGTAACTAGGATGGCTAGTAATGGCTGAACTTAGCATCATCGCATAGTGACTTATTGTATAGCTTTTATATAGCGCTACTTTCACGCTTTTCATTTGTGGACTAGTTGGGGGGGGGGGTATCTAGGAGTTGGTTTTCCGTGCTGCCTTTAGGCGTATTCGATGTAATTAACTAACTACCTACACATGTAACAAGTAGAAATGGCTAAGTCTAAACCGTTATACAGACACGACACAGTCACATTTTGTTCAAACTTAAAATCATTTGTTTTACCTGGATCAGGTGAAATGCGAATTCATAAAATATTTAGAGACTTAGGGATTTGAAATATCTATCAATAATATAAAGCATACAGTAAGGCGTGTGTATATATGTATGTATGTATGTATGTATGTATGTATGTATGTCCTGAATAGAAATCGAAACCGTTGACCAATCTTGATAAAACTTGGCAGACATGTTCCTTGGATACTACATGAAACAGTCACGGATGTAAAGTAGACCTATAAACAAGTTGCCCAAATCAATGAAAGTATTACTATTTCATGGATCTAACTCTCACTTTCTCTCTCTTTTTCCCATTCTCACTTTCTCTCTTTTTCTCATTCTCTTTTTTCTTTCTCTCTCGATCTCTATCTCTCTTTTAATTAATTAATCACTATCTCTCTTTTAATTAATTAATCTCTATCTCTCTTTTCATCAATTAATCTCTATCTCTCTTTTCATTAATTAATCTCTATCTCTCTTTTCATCAATTAATCTCTATCTCTCTTTTAATTAATTAATCTCTATCTCTCTTTTACCACGTGACACTTTTTTCTCGTTATCTCTTTTTTTTTCTTTCTTTCTCTTTCTTTCTGTCTTACATATTCCTATCTGTCTCTAGGAGACTCTTATTTTCCTTTTCTGTGGGTTTTTTTGTTTCAATCTCGCTCTCTTATGATGTCTTTAAAAGTCTTAAGTTAAAGACATGCGTTCATTTATTTAGATGTTAGTTGTTGGTTTTTTTGTTTCAACTTAAAAAAAAATCTGTAAAGTTCATTTATTTTACGCTAACGTTTAAGGACTTTGTTTTAATCATTAGTATACTTAAATGTACAAAAAAAAAATGTGCATATACCATTACACCGGAATCCTGAGTACTTGCCCAGACATCCCAAAAGACACGCCCCTGTCACGTGATAACAGGTTGTCTGATTGGTCTCTAGGGGGCGACACTGAGAGCTGCAAATGTCAGCGCAATTCTGTCCAAAAGTATTCACAGGACAAAGTTCTGAAACAAAACAACAATTAGACTACTATTAAATAACAGGTCTTGAAACTTTCAGGTACAGTTGAGCCTTCGCCTGTTTGAACTCTAAACCAGCAAAAAATGAACAAAAGCTCCCTCTCGCCGGCCTGAATGAGAACAATTTACACTGTTCTGTCTGGCGGGGAGTCAGACTCGAGGGCAGAGGTCGCGTATACCGGGACCCTCGCCATTTTCCTTCTTTTTACCAGGCTAACCGCGTAGGACACGTCATTTATGTAACGCTCCCTTGAGGAACGTCGCCTGGATTGTGACGAGGTTGTGGGAGCTTTTTTACAGCTCCACATAGAGCAATGTGGATGCTCTCGCACTCTCTTAGGCACCTCCACAGGAGTCTTGTTTTTCTACTTTTTGGCCAAATGGTTTCCTCCTACGATCGTGTCCAGCAGGGCGCCACTATCAGGCAGGGTAGCATTCCCCGGAATAGAATATCTAAATATTTACCTAAGAAAAAAAAATCGTTCGTTTTTATCATAATATAATAATAATGAAATAATAATAATAGTAATAATAAGGCTTGTCTTCGAGTCGGAGATTTCTAAGGAATGAAGTATTTCCCGTGGTAACGTAGCGACCTACATATTGCAGCTCTTCAAAAAAGCTATGTGGCCGCAGTGGGCCCCGCCTTTTCATAGGCCCCGCGCGAATACTAAGTGTAAATTGTTAAAATAAACTATTTTAACTTATTTATTAGGGTTTCTGGAATTCTCCTGAGATTGTAAAATATACGAAAAAGTCATGAAAATCTCCTGAAATTTTTTAAATCTTCTGAAAACTGATGCCAATCTCTTTAAAAACAGACAAAATTGTCATTTCTGGGTGGCATTCAGTATGGATAATGCCTATTCTACTAGCAATTTAAAAAATGGCATTGTCAGCTTTTATTTCATAAAAAAGTAATGTTAAGGCGAATTTGAACCAAAACATACAAGTTCAAATTCTTAATTTACTTTTATAGTCACTGACATACAAATATAGCCTATATCTAAATCTAACTCAACCTCTTAAAAAAAACAAAAGCGATATTTTGCTTTTCGATAGTAAATTTAAAAGGCAGATCTGAATGTTTATCTGTTTTTACTACTGTAAATGGCTCGTAAAATTAATGTGACCAAGAGTTTGTACTTAGTGAAGTCTGGAATAAAATGCGAAGACTAATTTATTTTCTAATTTTAAAAAATCTTAATTTTCACTTATTATCCTTATCACAACCCAGAATAGGCCCCGGGCAATCCGTTTCGCATAGGGCCCCTTATCTGTAGGACCGGTCCTACCATACGGGATACGTGTCTTGCCCAGCGTAACTGTCGGACAATAAGAAGTCTCTCTATACTGTCCTTACCAGCGGTCGCAAGAACATGGCTGTTTTTAGTGCGGTCTTTCCACCGTATGTTCATGGTGGAGCGCAAGCATCTTTGGTGAAAGCTTTCAAGTAGTCTTAGTTGCTTTCTGTATAATAACCATATCTCAGATCCACATAGAAGGGTTGAGAGAACCACTGCTTGGTATACATTGATTTTTGTAGGAGGGAGAATTGATTTATCCCGCCAAACTATCGCCTGCTGGTGTCCGAAAGCACTACTGGCACGGGCCATCAACGTCCCTTGAAAGAGATGCCTCATTTGAAACTATGTTTCCTAGATATGTGAAGTGGTCTATCAAGTTAGGGAGACGTTCTTCTACGGAGATCTTGGGCTCTGGCTATTAGGTTTTATTGGCTGACTTCTGGAACATGACTTCTGTTTTCCCGTGGTTTATATTTAAAATAAAAGAGGCGGCAGCGTATGCAAATTTATTGACCTCAATCTGGAGATCATGTTCCTAGTAAACTAGCAGGGCGCTATCTTCGGCATAGA